CATCATTCTAGACATAATTCATTACGCTATGCCAAATTCCGTGCAAATCGAAAGATATATATGGACATTGGTACACCATTTACATTAAATCGGACGAAAATATATATGGGAGCTATATCTAAATCTGGACCGATTTCAAGGAAACTTAACACACATCATTCTAGATATAATTCATTACGCTGTGCTAAATTTCGTGCAAATCGAACGATATATAGGGGCATTGGTACACCATTTACATTAAATCGGACGAAAATATATATGGGAGCTATATCTAAATCTGGACCGATTTTTCCCAATTTCAATAGGGTTCGTCCTTGGGCCAATTAAGTGACCTATGCCAGGTTTCATCCAATTCGGATCATAAATGCGACCTTCACTTTGTTTACAATTTAACATGGACAGACAGACGGACGGACATGCATAAATCAACTGAAAAAGTGATTCTATGCACATTCTAAAAAGGAACCAAGTGTATATCTCGTTTCCTTTTGCCTGTTACAAACATATGCACAAAGACATAATACCCTGTACCACAGTGTGGTGAAGGGTATAAAAATTTATTTTTTGATAAAATTTCCTATAGAGATTTCACATGATGTTTTGCAAATTAAATTTGAAAGCAACATTACCATAGAATTCCCATTTTTACAAGGTTCCACTGTATTTCACTGGGTCGATCATTACAATCATTACAAATTTGTAGGAGAAACAATAAGTTTTTAGATTTTGTTACCTAATTGAGATGTTACGAATATACATTTTTTATCGTTATTCAATCATGTTTTTATTATTACTGTTGTAAATGGTAAAAGCACGAAATAGATGCAAATTAGTGTCAGCGATTTTAGCCGGATTAATTGGAAATTATTTGAATAAATAGTTAAAGTATGAGGGCGCCACTGGTGAATGTTCTATTGACTTTGTATAATTTCATGCAACTATGTTGTTACGGTATTATATGTCTGTTTTGGCTCAAGAGGGCTACTGTATATATTTCTGGCTTAGACAATACTAAGCATCGCCTAGCGCAAACCATGCGTTCGTTGTGTTTTTTCGAACATCAATAGTTACCACTAATAAATCTGAAACGCCCTTTTAACACCATTATGGTCATGCCAACAATCTCAATATAATTTATTATAGTACTCAAACCAATATTTACTAATTCGGGGTATAATTTTAATTTAATAACAGCAGGGGGCTCGCCATCCAAAAAAATATTTTAATATCGTACAACACATTTAAACATTATTAACACCCTCTAAACTTCAGCTTAAATATGGCTGTGTAGTGTTCTTTGTCTAGTCGTCTCCAATTTCTATTTATCTTTATTGACTTAGTTTTTGTTTTAAAAATAGATCAAAAAAACTCGTTCACAAAATTGTGACACAAATCGACGTCAGAGTCAAAGACCTAATAATGCTTAGAGATTGATTCAGTTATTATGGGTTTCTCGTTTCTGGTATTCTAATCATTGATGAGAACTAGTAGTCGTCTCGGATTTTACGTCAGCCTGTTATTAGACAAACAAAATGAAAATCAAAAATTTTACAAGTTTTGCAAATTACAACGGTTTTTTGTTTTGGTATTCCGTTCTCGTGAAACTTGTTTTAAGGGATTAAAATAAAACAAACTATGGTTGCTATTGTTTGTTTCTTGGTTTCGTCATCATAGTTGTCGTCATTGTTGGCGTGCCAATTGTCTATTTAAAATATAATAAAGATATTTTGGGAATTATAGAGGGGTTTGTTTAGAAATTTTAATTTCTCTAGACGGTTTGTTAGAATACACAAATGGAAGTTTAAGATGGATGAAGGCACAGGTGTGGTGGTTCACTTATATAACTCTTATAATGATATTGAAACGTTCAGTTTTTTTCAAGCCCAAATTTTACCAATCATGCTGGCAGTCAAGAATCTATGGGTAAGTGACTAACGATATGTCCCTATATATTATATTTTGACAATCAAGCTGTCCTGAAGGCATTTAAGTCAGAGACTGTAAATTTGAGATTAGTTTATAACTGCAGAGGTTCCAGTTAACATCGAGTTTATAGGGAATGAAAAAGCAGATAAGTTTCAGCCTCATACACCCTCTTTCCTTTTATACCCTCCACCATAACATGTAGTGTATATTAAATTTGTTATTCCGTTTCCAACATCTCGAAATATTTAGCGGGGACCCCACTAAGATCGCAATAAAATTCTATGCCGATTTGCCTATGTCCGCCCGTCTGTCCATCTGTTGAAATAACGTTTGAGATCGCAATATTTAAATAAAGAAATTGTAAATTGTTATTTTGGGTTCTTATTGAGTCTCCTTACACATTTCCTTACAAAAAATCCTGATACTTCAATATTCGAATTTTTTGGGGGGTTTTGGACACGTTTTTCAACTCTGTTTACTTTAATTTAGTATTTTTTATTCTAAAAAAAATATTAATAGTGACCAATGTTTCAGGGTAGACCCCATATAACGTTTGTCTATAAAAACTCCCTGCTGCGTCTACAAAATACTCCCTTCAGGTCGTATATAAAGACTCACTGCTTCAGTCTAGTCTATAAATATTCATAAACATTCACTGATTCAGCTCGTCTATAAAGACTGCCTCCATTAGCTCTTCTAAAAGACTCCCTGCCTCAACTCCACTATAAACACTGCCTGCTTAAGCTCGTCTATAACGTATTCCTGCTTCTAAAAGTCTACTTGTCTCAGCTCGTCTATAAAAGACTCCCTGCTTCAACTCGTCCATAAAAGACTACCTCGTCTATAAAAACTTCCAGTATCAGCACGTCTATAAAGACTCCCTGCTTTCGCTCGTCTATAAAGACTTCCTGCTTCAGCTCATCGATAAAGACTTCCTGCTTTAGGTTGTCTATAAAATACTATAGAGACTCCCTGCTTCAGCTCGTCGATAGAGACTCCCTGCTTCAGCTCGTCTATAGAGACTCCCTGCTTCAGCTCGTCTCATAGAGACTCCCTGCTTCAGCTCGTCTCATAGAGACTCCCTGCTTCAGCTCGTCTCATAGAGACTCCCTGCTTCAGCTCGTCTCATAGAGACTCCCTGCTTCAGCTCGTCTCATAGAGACTCCCTGCTTCAGCTCGTCGATAGAGACTCCCTGCTTCAGCTCGTCTATAGAGACTCCCTGCTTCAGCTCGTCTATAGAGACTCCCTGCTTCAGCTCGTCTATAGAGACTCCCTGCTTCAGCTCGTCTATAGAGACTCCCTGCTTCAGCTCGTCTATAGAGACTCCCTGCTTCAGCTCGTCTATAGAGACTCCCTGCTTCAGCTCGTCTATAGAGACTCCCTGCTTCAGCTCGTCTATAGAGACTCCCTGCTTCAGCTCGTCTATAGAGACTCCCTGCTTCAGCTCGTCTATAGAGACTCCCTGCTTCAGCTCGTCTATAGAGACTCCCTGCTTCAGCTCGTCTATAGAGACTCCCTGCTTCAGCTCGTCTATAGAGACTCCCTGCTTCAGCTCGTCTATAGAGACTCCCTGCTTCAGCTCGTCTATAGAGACTCCCTGCTTCAGCTCGTCTATAGAGACTCCCTGCTTCAGCTCGTCTATAGAGACTCCCTGCTTCAGCTCGTCTATAGAGACTCCCTGCTTCAGCTCGTCTATAGAGACTCCCTGCTTCAGATCGTCTATAGAGACTCCCTGCTTCAGATCGTCTATAGAGACTCCCTGCTTCAGCTCGTCTATAGAGACTCCCTGCTTCAGCTCGTCTATAGAGACTCCCTGCTTCAGCTCGTCTATAGAGACTCCCTGCTTCAGCTCGTCTATAGAGACTCCCTGCTTCAGCTCGTCTATAGAGACTCCCTGCTTCAGCTCGTCTATAGAGACTCCCTGCTTCAGCTCGTCTATAGAGACTCCCTGCTTCAGCTCGTCTATAGAGACTCCCTGCTTCAGCTCGTCTATAGAGACCCCCTAAAGACTCACTGCTTCATGTCGTCTAAAAAACTATCTTCTTTAGCTCGTCTATAAAGACTCCCTTCTTCTCCTCGTCTATAAATACTCCCTGCTTCATCTCAACTATAAATACTGCATTCAGCTCTTCGCCTTGCCTATAAAGATGGCATTCAGCTTTTCAAAAAAGTTCGTTTACAATTTTTTCCAGGCCCAGCTTGTTTTTTTTGTTACTTAGCTCATTTCGACATTAGACATATCAATTTTAAAATATCTGCTACATACACCAGCAATTAATTTTAAAACGTTTAAGGCAATTAAAAAACTAATAAATTTATCAGCAATTTAATGAGGATGAACATCGATCTGTTGTGATAAATTATTGCTCGTCGTCAGTTTGTCAGACTGTCAATGTAATCGTCAATATCGATATTGTCAGTTTTCTAACACTCTCCGATTGAAGTTTTATTGTGGTTAGCAGATCGATACCAATCAAAAGAAATCAATTTGATTTGACCCAATTCTTAATACACTGGGGTATAACTTATTTATGAATGACTTCACACCCTGCTAAAACTTGTATTGATTTTTTGAATTTTAAATTAATACAGTGTTTAGTTTTTTTTGGAGCATAATTTTGGCATTCGTCCGGTTAACTCTTAATTTTTGATTTATTTGTTGTTGTTTTTTTAATATCTGCCTGTCTTCTATTTCATTCTACATTTAGAACTTTTACTAGAGAGATTATGTTGATGTCTGTGAGAAGATGGAGGCCAAACGAACAAGGCAGTGACCCTCCCAAGAAACTAACATGATGAGAAAAAACATATATTTTAAAATATGCTAATCCGATTCGTAAAATTTGAAGAAAAAAAATGAAATACAAAAGAAAGGAACTAGTTTTTTATGGCCATTTACAACTCGGTGAGAGAATCTTTGCCAAAAATATAAAAAAATTAACATGAGAAATTATGCAAATAAAAAAATTTATATCGGCATTTGGTCCATATTATTTCATTTAGAAATTCTTGGAGAAATTCTATAAAAGAAAGCGCCCGATGAAGATTTTGAAACACAGTTTAAACGACAGCGATGAGAGAAGCAGCATTAATAGGATTATTAGCGATAACAGTTGCCCTGACAAATGGTAAGTTGGATGGTTTGTGGATACGAGAAGCAGATAATGGGAAAATAATGAATTGGATTTTGTAGCCTTCGGTATTGGATTAAATGGCAATCTTGGAGGTATCGGTGCCGGTATAAATATTGGCGGAATTGGAACTGCGAACAATAATAAAAATAAGAATGCCGGATTACTGGGATCTGGTATCACAGCTGGCCTTGGAAGTGAAAAGAAAGTTTCGACTGGTTTTGGTGCAAACCTTGGTGGATTAGAAGCTGGTGTTAAACTTGGTGGAAATAATGGCGGTTCTAAGGGCTCTGCTGGTATTGGAGCTAATCTTGGTGGTGTCGGAACAGGTTTAAACATTGTCGGATCAAGGGGCTCTGCTGGAATTGGTGCCAATCTTGGAGCTGGTTTAAATATTGGAGGACTTGGTACTGCAACGAATAATAAAAATAAGAATGCTGGCCAAGGAGGTGACAAGAAAGCATTTGCTGTATCTGGTGTAAATCTTGGTACAGTCGAAGCTGGTGTTAATCTTAGCGGAATAGGTGGTAATATTGGAGGTATTAGCGGAATTAAGGGCGGTTCAAAGGGCTCTGCTGGTATTGGTGCCAATCTTGGAGGTGTCGAAGCTGGTTTAAATATTGGTGGACTTGGCACTGCGAACAATAATAAAAATAAGAATGCCGGTCTAGCAGGTGAAAAGAAAGTATCTGCTGGAGCTGGGGTAAATCTTGGTGGAGTCGAAGCTGGTGTTAAGCTTGGTGGATTAAGTGGACAATCTGGAGGTATTAGTGGTAGTAATGGCGGTTCTAAGGGCTCTGCTGGTATAGGAGCTAATCTTGGAGGTGTCGAAGCTGGTTTAAATATTGTCGGACTTGGCACTGCGAACAATAATAAAAATAAGAATGCTGGCCTAGGAGGTGACAAGAAAGCATTTGCTGTATCTGGTGTAAATCTTGGTACAGTCGAAGCTGGTGTTAATCTTAGCGGAATAGGTGGTAATATTGGAGGTATTGGCGGAATTAAGGGCGGTTCAAAGGGCTCTGCTGGTATTGGTGCCAATCTTGGAGGTGTCGAAGCTGGTTTAAATATTGTCGGACTTGGTACTGCGAACAATAGTAAAAATAAGAATGCCGGTCTTGGAGGCGAAAAGAAAGTATCTGCTGGAGCTGTGGTAAATCTTGGTGGAGTCGAAGCTGGTGTTAAGCTTGGTGGATTAAGTGGACAATATGGAGGTATTAGTGGTAGTAATGGCGGTTCTAAGGGCTCTGCTGGTATAGGAGCTAATCTTGGAGGTGTCGAAGCTGGTTTAAATATTGTCGGACTTGGTACTGCGAACAATAGTAGAAATAAGAATGCCGGTCTTGGAGGCGAAAAGAAAGTATCTGCTGGAGCTGGGGTAAATCTTGGTGGAGTCGAAGCTGATGTTAAGCTTGGTGGATTAAGTGGACAGTCTGGAGGTATTAGTGGTAGTAATGACGGTTCAAAGGGCTCTGCTGGTATTGGAGCTAATCATGGAGGTGTCGAAGCCGGTTTAAATATTGGTGGACTTGGCACCGTCGGTCTAGGAGGTGAAACGAAAGTATCTGCTGTATCTGGTGTAAATCTTAGTACAGTGAAAGATGGTGTTAAGCTTGGCGGATTAGATGGAAACATTGGAGCTAATAGTGGAAGTAATGGCGGTTCTAAAAACTCTGCTGGTATTGCAGCTAATCTTGGAGGTGTCGAAGCCACTTTAAATATTGGCGTTTCAAAGGATTCTAATATTGGAGGATTAAGTCATGGTGGCTCTAAGGGTTCAATTGTCATCAGTTCTCACACTTCTAAGGATACTGCTGGCAATGGTGCTAATATTGGTGTCTCAAGTGGAAATTCTAAGGGTTCTGTTGGCATTGAAGCTAGCCTTGGTCAAGCTGTCGACAAGATTAATGGTCATAAAATTGGTACAGTTGCTGCCGTTGCTTCCAGCGATTCCGAATCTAAGAAACCAATCATATCAGGTGCTATTGGAGTTGGTTCTACTGCAGATGTTTCTAGCACAATTAGTATTAATGAAGGGGGCGTTTCCGGTACCATTGGTCTTGGTTCTTCTTCCTCATCTGGTGTCAATGGTATTCATAAATCGGGTGCCTCTGGTAGTATCACTGCTGGCAGTATTGGAACCAGTACTAATCATAAAGTGGAACTAAATGGGGATAATAAAATCACTAAAACTTCTGCTAGTATTGGATCCAATTTCGATGGTTTAAATGCTGGTATTGGAGCTGCCGGAACCAGAGTTGGGAATGACGGATCCAATGAGGCTAACGTATCTGGTAACCTAGGCGTTTCTGGCAGTATTAGTAGCGGTAATAAATACACGTATGGTGCAGCTAACAAAGGAGGTATCTCTGCTAGCATTGGATCTGGAATTAGCAGTGGACATAAAGTCGTTGCATCTTCCTCATCTAGTACTAGTGCCTCATCTGGAGCATTCCAAAAAGTTGGATGCGATGTCAGTTCGGGAAAGTATTGTAAACACGATCCAGGCAGTTACGGATCATCTCATCATGGTGGCAGTAAGACAACATTTAGTTGGCATTTCATTGGTGGAAGTTCCGCCAATAAAGGAAGTTATGGTGGAACATGGCATACTGGCCTATATGGAAATAATGGCAAATATAATGGAACTTGGTTAGTTGGCAGCAATGGTAATAAGGGGAATTATGGTGGATCTTGGCATGGTGTTGCATCTGGTTATCAAGAAAATAACAAAGGTGGAACTGCTGGTAGTAGCGATGGATCTTGGACTGGCAGCCTATCTGGCAAAAAAGAAAATAACAATGCGGTAGATTCTGGTAATAAGGACAGTAGCAGTGCCGGATCATGGACTGGCGGCCTATCAAGTAATAATGGAAATAACAAAGATGGCGCTTCTGGTAATAATGGTAGTTACGGTGGATCTTGGACTGGCAGCATATCTGGCAATAAAGAAAATAACAAAGGTGGAGCTTCTGGTAATAATGGCAGCTCTGGTGGTATATCCGGAAGCTATGCTGGATCTTGGCATGGTTCAGTCTCGGGTAATAAGGGAAATTATGGCGGATCTTGGCAAAGTTCTGGTATCTCCGGCAACAAAGGAGGTAATGGTGGTTCATATCACGTCGGTATCTCTGGCAGTAACACAGGTGGAACTTCTGGTAATAAGGGCAGTAACGGTGGATCATGGAATGCGCACAGCAGTGCTGGAAGTAATGCAGAAAAAGGCAGTTATCAAGCATCATCTTCAAGTTCTGTAAGCACTTCGACAAATGTTGGATCAGGACAGGGTGGTAATAAGGAAAATTATGCTGGATCATGGCAAGACTCTGGTAACTCTGGCAACAAAGGAGGTAATGGTGGTTCCTATCACGTCGTTATCTCTGGCAGTAACAAAGGTGGAGCTTCTGGTAATAAGGGCAGCAACGGTGGATTATGGCATGGTGCCATCTCTAGCAGTGTTGGAAGTAATGCCCACAAAGGCAGTTATCAAGCATCCTCTTCTGTTAGCACTTCCACAAATGTTGGATCAGGGCAGGGTGGTAATAAGGGAACTTATGCTGGATCGTGGCAAGGCGCAGTATCTGGTATCTCTGGCAACAAAGGAGGTAATGGTGGTTCCTATCACGTCGGTATCTCTGGCAGTAACACAGGTGGAACTTCTGGTAATAAGGGCAGTAACGGTGGATCATGGAATGCGCACAGCAGTGCTGGAAGTAATGCACAAAAAGGCAGTTATCAAGCATCATCTTCAAGTTCTGTAAGCACTTCGACAAATGTTGGATCAGGACAGGGTGGTAATAAGGAAACTTATGCTGGATCATGGCAAGACTCTGGTAACTCTGGCAACAAAGGAGGTAATGGTGGTTCCTATCACGTCGTTATTTCTGGCAGTAACAAAGGTGGAGCTTCTGGTAATAAGGGCAGCAACGGTGGATTATGGCATGGTGCCATATCTAGCAGTGTTGGAAGTAATGCCCACAAAGGCAGTTATCAAGCATCCTCTTCTGTTAGCACTTCGACTAATGTTGAATCAGGGCAGGGTGGTAATAAGGGAACATATGCTGGATCATGGCAAGGCGCAGTCTCTGGTATCTCTGGCAACAAAGGAGGTAGTGGTGGTTCTTATCATGTCAGTATCTTTGGCAGTAACAATGGTGGAACTTCAGGTAATAAGGGCAGTAACGGTGGTTCATGGAATGCGGACATAACTAGCAGTGCTGGAAGTAATGCCCACAAAGACAGTTATCAAGCATCCTTTTCAAGTTCGACAAATGTTCAAAAAACCGACAGCAGTTCGACAAATAAAGGAAATAATAGTGGATCTTACTTCGGTGGAATAACTGGCGTAGTTTCCGGCAATAAGGATACAACGTCATCAAGTTTTACAAACACTACAACAAATGCGCATGATAATAAAGGAACTTATGTTGGATCCTATCCAGTTACCATCACTGGAAATACGGAAGTTGGAACTTTGGAAAATAATGGACCTGGCAGTATTGACGGAACCGGAAATGTTTCTGTCATCGCTTCTACAAGTTCCAATGCTAATGTTCAAGGAATTGCCTCTGGAATTAATTCTGTTTCAGGTCATGCAATCGTAGGTAATGGAGTTAATGGCTCTACTGCCTCCAATGTCCATGTTGTCTCCTCATCTGGAACTGCATCAACCCATGTAGGTTTACATCTGAGATTAAAAAAGCTGTCAATGATTATAATTAGGATTCTGTTTTAGGTGAATATAGATGCTCATGGTAACAAAAATGGGTCAGCTTTGGGTTCATCATCTTCAGTAGTATCTGCAGGTGTCAATGGAAATGTTCATGGCTCCACTGTTGGAAGTAACGATGGATCCTACCATGGCGGTATCTCTGGTAATAAAGGAAGTTATTCTGGATCTTATCATGTAGACATATCTGCCAATAAAGGAACTAACAATGGATCATATCAGGGTGGTATCTCTGGTAATAGTGGTAATAATAAAGGTGGAGCCTCCGACAATAAGGGTAGTTACAGCGGATCTTGGAGTGGTGGTATCTCTGGAAATAAAGGAAGTTTGGGTGGAAACATTGGTCACAAAGTCAGCTATGTTGTTGGAAATGGTAGTGGTAACAAGGTCACAACCTCTATCCACGGTTCCACTAATAAATTTGGTAGCGTTTCTCTCTCTGCCTCTTCGACAATCAATAAGGTATGTTTCTCGCTTGCAGTTAACTGTGTTTTACGTCGATCTGACTTCCGACCTTCAATATTATAGGGAACTTCCAATGTACAAAATAATGCCCAGGGATCCGGAAGTGGCTCTGCTCATGTTGCTACAAGTTCTAGTACAACTGTTCAAGGAATTGGCTCTGGAATTAGTTCCGGTTCAGGTCATGGTGTTGTAGCTAGTGATGTTCATGGTGCAGCAGCTTCCATTTCTAATGTTGCCGCCTCATCTGGATCTGCATCAACTAATGTAGGTTAACATCTGAGATTTAATAGCCTACTATGATTTTAATTAAAAATCTTTCTTTTAGGCGAATATAAACGTCCATGGTTCGTCAGCATCAAAGGTATCTGGTTCAGGTCATGGTGCTGCATCCGGTACTGGATCCAAAGGTCCTAACGGAAATGTTCATGGTAACAAATACGGAGCACCTTTGGGTTCATCATCCGTAGTAGTATCCGCAAGTGTCAATGGAAATGCTCCTGGTACTACTGTTGGAAGTAATCAAGGCGGCATTTCTGGTAATAAAGGAAGCTATTCTGGATCACATCATGTAGGCATTTCTGCCAATAAAGGAACTAACGCTGGATCTTATCATGGTAGTATCGCTGGTAATAATAAAGGTGGTGCTTCCGGCAATAAAGGAAGTTATAGCGCATCTTGGCATGGTGGCATCTGGGGAAATAAAGGAGGTACCGGTGGATCTTGGCATGGTGCCACCTCTGTCAGTATTGGAAATAATGGTCACAAAGGCAGCTATGTTGTTGGAAATGGTAGCGGTAACAAGTTCACAACCTCTATCCAAGGTTCCACTAATAAATTTGGTAACGGTTCGACGCAAAGCTCTACAGGCTTCCTCTCTGCCTCTTCGACAATCAATAAGGTATGTTCCTACCTTGCAGTTAACTGTGTTTTGTGTCGATCTGACTTCCGACTTTCAATATTACAGGGAACATCCAATGTACAAAATAATGCCCAGGGATCCGGAAGTGACTCTGCTCATGTTGCTACAAGTTCTAGTGCTAATGTTCAAGGAATTGCCTCTGGAATTAGTTCCGGTTCAGGTCATGATGTTGTAGGTAGTGATGTTCATGGTGCAGCAGCTTCCATTTCTAATGTTGCCGCCTCATCTGGATCTGCATCAACTCAAGTAGGTTAACATCTGAGATTTAATAGTCTGACAGGATTTTAATTAAAAAACTTTTTAGGTGAATACAAACGCTCATGGTTTGTCATCATCAAAGGGATCTGGTTCAGGTCATGGTGCTGCATCTGGTACTGGCTCCAAAGGTCCTAACGGAAATGCTCATGGTAACAAATATGGCACAGCTTTGGGTTCATCATCTGTAGTAGTATCCGCAAGTGTCAATGGAAATGTTCCTCTCACCACTGTTGGAACTAACGTTGGATCTTACCATGGATCTGGTAATAAAGGAAGCTATTCTGGATCTTACCATGTAGGCATCTCTGCCAATAACAAAGGTGGAGCCACCGGCAATAAGGGTACTTACAGCGGTTCATGGCATGGTGTCACCTCTGGCAATAAAGGAAGTTCTGGTGGATCATGGTCTGGTACCACATCTGGCAGTATTGGAAATAATGGTCATAAGGGCAGTATTGTAGGTGGTTATGGTAGCGGTAACAAGGGATCAACTACTAGCCATGGTTTCGTCAATAAATTCGGTAGTGGTTCGACGCATAGCACGACCAGTTTCTTCTCAGCAAATAATAAGGTATGTTGACATCAGATATTCAATAGCTGGCTAAATTTTAATTATAATTCCCTTTTAGACGAATATAAACCTCCAGGGTTTATCAACGGGAACTGGTTCAGTTCATGGTGCTGCATACGGTACTGGCTCCAAAGGTCCTAATGTTCATGGTAATAAATATGGAGCAGCTTTGGGTTCATCAACTATAGTACAATCCGCAAGCGTCAATGGAAATGCTCCTCTCACCACTGTTGGAAGCAGCAATGGATCCTACCACGGTGGCATCTCTGTTAATAAAGAAAGCAATTCTGGATCTTACCATGTAGGCATCTCTGGCAATAAAGGAACTAACAATAGTTCATACCACGGTGGCACATCTGGTAATAATAAAGGTGGAGCCACCGGCAATAAGGGTACTTACAGCGGTTCATGGCATGGTGTCACCTCTGGTAATAAAGGAAGTTCCGGTGGATCATGGTCTGGTACCACATCTGGCAGTATTGGAAATAGTGGTCATAAGGGCAGTAATACAGGTGGTTATGGTAGCGGTAACAAGGGAGTAACAACTAGCCATGGTTCCATCAATAAATTCGGTAGTGGTTCAGCGCATAGCACGACCGGTTTCTCCTCAGCATCTCCCGCAATCAATAAGGTATGTTCTTCGCCTATAATTAATTGAGTTGCATCTGATTCCTGACAATAAATGTTGCAGGGAACTTCCAATACAAATGTGTCAAGTAGTGTCCACGGAACCGTTGGTGGCTCCGCTCATACTTCTACAAGTTCTACTGCTAACGTTCAAGGAATTTCACCAGGAATTCATTCCGGTTCAGGTCATGGTGTGGTAGGTAGTGGAGTTCTTGGTTCTGCTGCATCCAATGCCCATGTTACCGTCTCATTTGGATCTGCATCGTCTCAAGTAGGTTGAAAACTGAGATTTAATAGCCGAAAATTATTTAAATTATAAGTATCTTTTAGGCAAATAAAACCCTTCCTGATTCATCAACATCAAAGGGACCAACTTTAGTTCATGGTTCTTCATCAAGTATTGGCTCCAAAGGTTCAAGTGGATATGGTAGTGGATATGGCGCTGCATCGGGTTTAACTTTTATTCATGGTTCAATAACAGCCAGTCATGATGAAACCAGCAATGTCTCGGGTGTAGCTCCTGGTGCTGGGTCGACTTCTCAACAGGCGTCCAGCTCACATTTGACACCTGCAATTGCCCATGATACAGAATCGATCTCCACTGAAGCAGCAGTTTCTGACACTGGAAGTGCTTATGTCACCGCACCGCATTTAGTGTCTGCTTCTTTGACAAGTGGCATTGCATCTGCCCTAGCTTCGACTGTTAGTCACGACGTTGGATCTACTTCTACTCAGGGATCTGTTGTTGACAATGGAAGTGGTTATGGAGCTGCTTCCGGCATAGCAACCACATCACTTCAAGCAATAACTACTGGCATTAGTTACTATGGTGCTGCTTCCGGCATATCATCCGGTATTGGATTGGGTACCGGTCTCGGAATTGCATCTGCTCATGGATCATCAATTGTAAGTGGATCTTCCGATGGCTTAAGAACTGCTAATGATAATGCTTATGGTGCTGCATCCGTCGGATCTGTTTCAACTTCAACTGGATCGGCAACTGTCAGTGGAAAGGCACCAGGTTCTGCTACAGGTTCTAAATCTGCCAGTGGTAATAGCCATGGCTCTGTCTCATCACCTAGTCGTGTTTCTGGATCTCCCTCAATCCATCAAGGGGTAACTGGCAGTGTTTCCTCTACTGGATCTGGTTTAACTCATGCTAATGGTTCTGTATTTACCATGGGTTCCAAACCTGTCAGTGGAAGTTACCATGGTTCCGTCGTTGGAACTGGTTCACTTTCTGGCCATGGATCGGAATCTGTCTCAACTCATGAAGTTAAAACTCCAAGTGTTTCTGCTTCTGGATCTGTTACTAGTCACGTTAATGAATCTGTCTCAATTCAAGGGCCAAATACTGTCAGTGCTTCTGGTTCAACTCATGGTAATGGTTACGGTGCTGCATCCGCCTCTGCTTTAAATACAGCCTCTTCTGGATATACCTCAATTCATGGAGAGACAACTGTCGGCGGAAATAGAATTGGTTCCATCACTGGAACTGGCTCACCTTCTGGTCATGTCTCTGGATCTGTCTCAATTCAAGGTCCGGCTACTGTCAGTGGTTCAACTCATGACAGTGGTTATGGTGCTGTATCCGCTTCAAATACAGCTTCTTCCGGTTCTACCTCGATTCATGGAGCGGCAACTGTCGGCGGAAATGGTCTTGGTTCTATCATTGGAACTGGTTCCTCATCTAGTCATGGCTCGAAATCTGCCTCAACTCAAGGACCGGCTACTGTCAGTGGTTCTGGTTTAATTCATGGTAATGGTTATGGTGCTGCATCCGCCTCTGCTTCAAATACAGCCTCTTCCGGCTCTACCTCAATCAATGGAGCTGCAAATGTCGGCGGAAATGGTATTGGTTCTATCATGGGAACTGGCTCATCATCTAGTCATGGCTCTGGATCTGCCTCAATTCAAGGACCGGTTACTGTCAGTGGTTCCGGTATAACTCATGAATCTACCACAATCAATGGAGCTGCTACTGTCGGCGGAAATGGTATTGGTTCTATCATTGGAACTAGTTCGACTACTGTCAGCGGTTCCACTACTTATGGTAGTGGTTATGGTGCTGGCTCACATTCTGGTCATGTCTCTGGATCTGTCTCAATTCAAGATCCGGCTATTGTCAGTGGTTCAACTCATGGTAATGGTTATGGTGCTGCATCCGCCTCTGCTTCAAATACAGCCTCTTTCGGTTCTACCTCAATCAATGGAGCTGCAACTGTCGGCGGAAATGGTCTTGGTTCTATCATTGGAACTGGCTCATCATCTAGTCATGGCTCTGGATCTGCCTCAATTCAAGGACCGGCTACTGTCAGTGGTTCTGGTACAACTCTTGGATCCACCTCAATCAATGGAGCTGCTACTGTCGGCGGAAATGGTCTTGGTTCTATCATTGGAACTAGTTCGACTAGTGTCAGCGGTTCCACTACTTATGGTAGTGGTTATGGTGCTGCATCCGCTTCTGCTTCCAGTACAGGCTCTTCTGGATCTACATCAAGTAATGGAGCGGCTACTGTCAGTGGTTCTGCTACAGGTGTTGGTTCTCTTGCTGTTAAGCCATCTGGCATTGCATCCAGCCCTGCGTCTGTGGGTCATACTACGACAACATCATTTACCCAAACTTCTGGATCTAAAGGTGGAAATAGTGGTTCCGCAACTCATGGTGGATTGAATGCTGGTCTTGTATTTATTGGAGGCTACGGCGGATTATTAGCTTCAAATGGTGTTAAAGGCAATGCCGGCTCAAAGGGAAACCGCAAACAACAAACTACTTCTGGAAGTTCAACCCATAAATTTGGATCAAACACCAGCAGTGGAGCTTCAGCGGGTTCTAGTCATGGTGGCAGCGGATACAGTGGTTCAAAAGGAAATCAATATGTAGGTATTGGAACAAATGTTGGTGGCACACATAACAGTAGATTTCCAGGTGCATCTGGATCGCTTGGCCTCAATAACAAAGGAACAAATGGCGGTTCCGCACATAAAGTTGTATACACCACCGGTTGGGCTACGCCCTTTGCCAGTTTTGACGGAATTTATGGCAATATTGGTCCCGGAGGCCAACTTCAATTTTACGATTGGAAAGGAAACCAAATTTTACCTGGAGGCTCAACAAACAAAGGAGGATATACCACTGGCGTATCTTCGACTGCTTCCAGTGTTGGCGGACTTTCGGGTGCTATTGGTACCGGCAGCTACATTGGATCGCTTGGTTCAAAAGGAGATAAAATTTACATTGGAGGTACAACAACAAACAAAGGAGTTTACAAACCTATTGCTGTTTCCAGTTATGGCGGATTTTCGTCTGGCATTGGCACCGGTGGTCAGTTTGGACCCTATGGCGGATTTTCGACTGCTATTGGTGCCGGCGGTCAGTTTGGACCCTATGGTACAAAGGGAGATCAAATTTACACTGGAGGCCAAACACACAAAGGAGGCTATGGCAGCGCTACAACTTTTTTTGTTCCCAATTTTGTCGGACTTCCGGGTTCGATTGGTACCGGAAACTATGTCGGAACTTATACCACAACAAACAAAGGAATTCCAGGTGGTTATCTTGCAACCAACATTGTTGGCACAAACAATGGGGGTTATAGCATTACAACCAGTAATGGTGTTAGTGCCTCAACAGGATTCAAAAGACCCTCAGGGTCGATTGTTACCAACAGCCATACTGGGTCTTATGGTTCAAAAATTAAACCCAATAAAGGTATTACAGCCAGCGTTGGCAGCACACAAAGTGCGAGTTCTGGTGCTTCCTCCCAAGGTAGCATAAGTGTTGGTGGTATTGGCTCTGTCAATAAAGTCGGCTTTGGAGGGGCTTTAAATGGTTTAAATCTTGGAGGCCTCTCGGCTTCTATTGGCGGTGCTAACAAGCATGGGTCTAAGGGAAGCTATGCTGGGTCCAATAACAATGGTCTTGGTCTCTCAGCAAATTTGGGTGGCGTATCTGCTGGATTTGGTCTGTTTGGTAGATAAGTAGTCGTAAAATATTCGTAGATTATAGGTTATGTTGCATCTCATATTGTGAATAAATAACATTTTAGAATTAAATAAAAATATCAAAATAAAAAAAGTGTCTTTAAGTTCGGTTGGGCAAACTGTTCATCTCCACCATAAGGCTATTTAAAATGCCTAAAATCGATCGGAAGTTTTAGAAGGGGGCTATCTCAAAGTGAATTGCTGCCAGGAGAAAAGAATACTTAACTACAAATACTCAGGTTGGAAAATTGGTCTATGGCCTTGAACATACCGGACATATCCTTTGGCTAATATAAAACTCCATTGTTCTGAACCTGATCAAAGGGTCCGGTTCAGTTCATGGTTATGCATCAGCTACAGGCTCAGCAAGTTCTAGTCGAAATCCTTTTAGTTGCAAATATGGCTGGCTTGTGACAGAGCGGTTTTGTGGATTTGTGGTCTCCCCCTTCTGCGGGAACCATCAGTAGGCTCGCTTTTGTGCTGGGCTTCTCATTCATTCGCACAATATTGCCTATTCTCCCTGCTGCCTCATCTGCTTGCGCAAATACCCATGCTTCAGATCCTTATAACAGCACGGGTAATATCAGCGTCTTATAGAGTGCGAGTTTGGTCAGGCGGGAGGTTGCCTTCTTCTTAAATTGCTTACTCAGGCCATAGTAGCATCTGTGGTCCAACACTATCCTTCTCCGAATTTCAAAACTAATGCCATTAGTGTTATTTATGGCGGTACCAAGGTATATAAAAACTTTAACTACCACGATGCAGTAGTTCTCAAGTTCCACAGATGGTCCGAGCCTACTGAATGTCTTGGGCTTTGACACCATCAGTTTGGTCTTCTCGAAATTTACTTCCAGACCCACTTTGGCAGACTCCTTCTCAATTTGTTCAAAGGTGGTTGTTACCGCTCGCAATGTTCAGCGTAGGTGAGTAACATGTGTAGTTTGGTGTACCTTTTCAGCGGGATGTTAAAAAGATCACAAGACAAACTTTCACCTCGTCTGAATCCTCGTTCGGTATTGAAGGCCTCCGATAGGTCCTTTCCTACTTTACCTGCTGTCATTGGTTCACATAAACTTATCCTGCATAGCCGTATTAATTTTTCAGGAATGCCGAACGCAGACATGACATTAAACACCTCTGAAAGGATAGGGCTGTCGAATGCGGCTTTATAGTCGACAAATAGATGGAATTTGTCGATGTGTTTTTCGTGGGTCTTTTCCAGGATTTGGCGCAGAGTGGAAATTTGGCCAATGGTAGATTTGCCAGATCTGAAGCCACATTGGTGTGGTCCAATAATGTCATTGACTATTAACTTCAGTCGTTCACCACAGCACGCTGGATAGCACTTTATATGCGAACTAGACTAATTCCTCTATAGTTGACACATATCGTCTTGTATCCTTTTTTTGCACAGGCTGCTGAGATTCCAATCATTTGGCATGCATTTCTCTAGTCAAATTGTACGAAGCAGCTTGTGAATGCTCCTTACCAACATCTGATCACTAGTTTTGAATAGTTCGGCTGGTAACCCATCGGCACGGCTATTGATACCAGAAGCTTTTCAAAATACTCCTTCCAGATCCTCAACACGCTGTCTGTATCTGTCACTTCTTCAACTCTGCAGGAGGATGTGCCTGCACCAAAGCCTTCGGTTTGGTGTTCTACTTATTGGTAAAATTTCCGGACTTCCTTCTGACTCCAGTACATCTCGATTTGCTCCCGGGACAAGAAGTGTTTTCGTCAAGCTGGTGGGTATGTTGAGCGGAGTAGGCCTCTGCTATCTGTTGTGTTTGCAGCTTTTCTACTTCGAGTTTTCTTGTTGTGTTAGATCGCACCTTTTCTGCTACATTAATACGTGTGCGAATCATGGCTTCTACAAGGTAGTGGTCCGATTTGATATTCGCTAGTCGGATCGATCGAACGTCTTAAACACTGGATGAATGCCTTCTGTCTATTACAACACGATCAATTTGATTTCTGCTTGATCAGGAGAAATCCAGGTGCTCTTATGTATATCGAGATGCTTGAATCTGGTGCTGCTAACTACTATGTTTTTTGCTGTCGCGAAGTCAATCAACCTCATGCCGTTGTCTGATGTTTCTTCATGGAGGCTGAATTTTCCGACGGTGAGGCCAAAAATATATTCCCTTCCGATTTTTGCATTAAAATCTCCTAGCAGAATTTTTATGTCATGGCCAGGGCAACGTTCATATGCTGTTTCAAGGCGCTAGTAAAATATGTCTTTGGTCTGTTCATCTTTGTCTTTGGTCGGAGCATGGGCGCAAATAAAACTGATGTAGAAGAACTACGCGTTTATACGGATTATAGCAGTGCGCTCATCTACTGGAGTGGATCTGGAGGTGAGGTCTTTTATTCTCCAATTAACAATAAATCCGCAGCCAAATTCATGTTTCGTTTCATGGCAGCTATAATACAGGGCGTAATCATTTGATTTACTTACGCCATTCCCTTTCCATCGCATTTCCTGTAGGGCAATAAAATCGGCTTTATACTTCCTGATTACATCCGAAAAAGCGAAAACTGCGACTGTTCTGCACAACAGGCGCACATTCCAAGTGCAGATTCTCAGATCGTAGTCCTTTATACGTTTGCGGGGGTTTGGTTTTCTTTCTTTTTCATAGTATGAGGGGTTTTCCGAGTGTCTGCAATTAACCCAACACCTCAACCCATTTGTTTACAGTTCTTATGGCTGAACTCGCGGCACATATCAGCTCACGATTTCTACGGGTGATGGAAGTAGATACCCCAGGTGACACTGCGGGGAGGTTAGTACCCACAATTGAGGTGAAAGAGGGACCAAGATAAGCCTGGTCTACGCCATGTTAAAGCCAATCAGAATCGTTGATTGGTATCTATCATACCCTACATCACATGGAACACGAACCCAAAATATCAGTCAATACAATTGATTGATTGGGTGCTCTAACTACTATATTACTGAAATATGGACGGCTCCGCTCTGTGTGGACACTAAGAAGCGGACCAATATTGATAATTTTAGGTAAGAAGATTTTCTAACCATGCTGTGAACTCAAAAAACCAAACTACAGCCATTTCAGTTGAAAAACGTAACCAAAATAAGAATATTAAATATTGAATAAGAATATTGAATATGAATACGAAGTTCTGAGAAATTTTATATTCAGATTTATTTAATAAATATGATTTACAATATATTGTTATACATTTATAAATAGAAAACGTACTACAGAATAGTACACAATAAAGCTTGTACCAAACCCAAAACTGCGTTGACTAGAGATCCCACCAGCGTTAGAACACCTGACAAAAGTTCAGGATTTGGTGCAGCACCATTACACGTTTCCATCCGATTATACGAAGCAGCTACACGCCTCATATCATCCGATATACACACCACATCGGAACATGTTGGCACTGGGACACTTTCACGACAATTGGCCGGAACTAAATTATAACAACTAGTATGTAATTGCCTCAATTGCTGTTGAGCCGTTCCGACTTGTAGCAAACTTATTGGTAAACTACCCAGCAGGCCACGTTGATTGAAACAAAGCAGGAGTCCAGTTAGACGATTGACTAGCGATACAAGTAGATTGCCTTGACAATTCTGGCAAACGACGGTGGTGGTTGTATTTGTTTGATGCGATGGTGTGATGAAGATTGCGAGAAAAACTAGAACTGAGTAAAAAATTAAGATGTATTCGATTTTTTTAATAAAACAATTATATTTAGTTTTTGCTCCCACCAAATAAACAAAATGAAGCGATCTTCAACATTTTGGAAATTATGTCTTATTGGAGTATGTTTTAATTTCACGTAGATTTTCCTATTTATATACTCACCCGTGTGGTGTTTAGGCTTGCACATATTTTGTAAATTACGTAGGAAAAAAATTCCGCAATATTTACTTCCGCCAAAATATTTACACAAGTGAATAATTTTGTGCAAATAAACTGAAGGTCAATGATGTTGTTGTTGTGTTATATTTTTGGAAAAGTGGTTGGCAATGACATCAATCAATCAATATTTCGATGAAATTGTACTTAAAAAATTATCTTTAAACAAGATTGGTACGACTTAAAACCCTTTTTTAAATTATCCACACTTTTAAAAAAGTCTCGCTTTGGATTTACTTAAAAATATGTTCAAAGAATTCCGCCATTGGTTCCTTAAAAAATCTGAGCTATGATTCGACTTGAGAACATATTGTGTTACAAATGCAAGCTTTGGTTATTCATGCTCTGACACTCTGGTTGGAATACTTGGTATGTTGAAACGTCGATCCATTTAAAATTTTTTTCTGTAAAGCTCAATTTACAAATATCCTCTGGCCCGTCTGCCAATGGAGTATATGATTGTACAAGGATTGGTTTCAAACTTTGTACAACCATTTTTAAAGATGAACCTTATAGGTTCCCTACAATCTGCCCACGCCTTCTGAAACCTTCTCAACAAAGGGCCAATATTTAAAATATTCATTTATTACGATCAGAATTTATTGTAGATATTTGTACCAAATCTAGATTAAATCTGAAAACGAGGTCTATAAATACATAATATTTTTATGGGTGTTAATTTTTTCATTGTCCAAAAATCGGTTTAAACCTTGAAAATGTCGATATTGGGACTGGAACTCCGCAGACTGTCCAAAATAGCATGGATCTGCAAAAAAATACGGCTAAACCGGCCTCGTTGACAAAATACGACTAACCTCTTTAAAATACATAATATTTTTATGGGTGTTGATTTTTTCACTGTCCAAAAATCGGTTTAAAACTTGAAAATGTCGAAATTGGGACTGGGACTTTATATTGGACATATTAGGTTGGGGGATAAAGAAATCCATTATTTTTATATGAACTATAAAAATCCTTTTAAGACATGGGTCTATCTAATTCCGTTTGGCCAAGGCTTCGCAGATGGAAATTCGATCCATCCTATTTTTTCCCAACCTAATATATATAATGGAATTGACAATTTAAACCCATTGTGTT